TACGATGAGTGCGGTCTTATCGTTTTCCACAACTTTTGGAGCGCGATCATCCAGCACTCGTTTCCCCTTCTTCGTTTTCACCTTATTCACCCGCATGATCTGCAAACAAAAAAGCATCAATAAATAAGGGTAGAACTAGAAAGAGCAAGTTAAAGATATGTTAACGAAGGCAAAAGTCGAGCCGAACGTGAAGATGACGATTGTTTGAAACCAATTCAAACACCTTAACACGAATGTATGACAAAACCAGGAAACGGAATCACTTCTCTGGAGTTTCATAAGAGGTAAAAGGTAAGAAGATACTTCAATCACTATGCAGCCACTAAGCTAGATAGCTCTTTTCCAAAAGCAAATGTAATTTCTAACAAGACGTATTATACGGTGCACAGACTGCAGCAGTTGCTGTCTATTTTAATTGACGTCTGTAACTGGCCAGCTACGCGTACACTTTTCCCTCGATATTCGTTATTACTCTATACAGCTTTCGATTTCTTTTTTTTCTTAAAAATGAATTGATTCCTTACTCCACGGTACTTCAACACTTTCTCGCTTTCATCGGGAGCTGTTTAGTTTGTGGACAGAACCGACTATACACAACAAATAGTTCTTCAAAATGGCTATGGCAGCAAGAGGACGTAATTCTAAACTACCACCTGAGGTATGTGAATATGAAATTTTTTCCCGAACACAAGCTGCCTCACTTTGAAAGACCTCTAAAGCTCAAGTCTAATGTGTTCATAGGCTTTCTTGAAATTACAATCTCTTTTTCAGGTGAATCGGATCTTGTATATCAAAAATCTACCATACAAAATAACTTCCAGCGAAATGTATGAAATTTTCGGGAAATTTGGAGCGATTCGTCAAATAAGAGTGTAAGTGATTGCTGTTGGTTTTCATTTAACTATACATACGAACTATAATAAGTTCATGGTCCAATTTTCTTTGTTGTTGTTCTTGTTTTTTATCTGAATGACTTTAAAAACTTGAAGGTTGTTATCTACTCTTTTTGTTTTCAGTGGGTCAACAAATGAAACAAGAGGTACTGCATTTGTCGTTTATGAAGACATCTATGATGCGAAAAATGCTTGTGAGCATATGAGTGGTTTCAACGTTTCAAACAGGTTTGCTTTTTCAACGGCGCTCTCATATCGATGTATCTTGATTGTTTTTTGAAGAATTTTGTATTCAGATATTTGGTTGTGTTGTATTATCAAGCTACAAAGGCATACAAAAGAATGGATACAGAAAAGGTGAGGCAAACTGATTGGTTCTGCAATATCAAAAGTATTTTCCTATTTTTATCTCTTTTCAATAGGCTTTCAAACCTTAGAACATTCAATGTTTGCATTGTACTTCAATTATGAAAGTTCTGTTTAAGATGTCGTGGAATATTTTTTAGTATAAAATCGTGTTGAACACTTTTAGTGACCTTTGTTTAATAATCGATTTTCTTTTGTTTTTTATTACTGTTCCCATACTAATTAATGAATATGTTATGCATTTTTCATTTCAGTATCTTTTTGGTGTTGATAATTCAATTTTCTTTAGGCGAAAGAGCGTCTTGAAGAGGTCAAAGAGCGTTACGGCATTGGTGGTGATCTTACTAAGCAGAAAAATGCATACACGCCTACACCTCGTCGATAGATTCCATTCCACCACTTTAAATTGGTCTCATTGTTTTGTTTTTCATAATTATTGGTTGAATAAAATTGTATGTCAATACTTAATGTTGTTTATGGATTTTTTAATTACCTGCACTACAAGGGGAAGCCACCAAGTTCAAACGAGTGGCAATTGGATCGGTGTAATAGAGGAGAACTGGGTAGCGAGTAGAGCGGGTGTGATTAGTTGCGTATGTCGAAGCAGATCTTTTCGGTAGGGACCCTATTTAAGTAGGCTTATAACAAAAACGAAAAGGATTTTTTTCGTGCCATTGGGTAGCAACTGTTTGTAGGAGTTTACAGGAGTATGTCCTGCCTTCTATAACTAAAATCGTTTCCATTTATCAATTCCAGTTTGAACCTTTCTATTATTTAAGCTATTTATTCACTTCATCCTCTCAGAGATACTACTGTTCCATACTCTTCATCACTGGGCAATTGTACCAAGGAGCACTTATTGACCGACAACTAATCAGACAACTGTTGATCATAAAAGATCAAGGATAAAGTCTTGGGGCGTTGGTCAATCCTGAGAGATTAGCCCCGCATTCGACTTCCATTCAGAAATGTAGTGGCGTTTGAACGCGTATGAGGCCTATACAGTGGCTTGCGATGGCCGCGCTGTGCAAGTCAGTGCTTATATATTCCCAGACGAGTTTGGTACCAATTAACAGAACCCGGAAGGATGGAAGGTCTAGGTGGATTCGATCCGGGATTCAAACCCGTGACCATGCGTCTGTGATAGTGCGTTTGCCACGACACCATTTTTGATCATACTGTTCAGAAATAGTTTGTAGTGCGCCAGTGAAAAAGATTGAATTACAGTATGATCGCTGTCCCAGACCTATACAACTGACCATCTTAAATAAAGTCGGAGAAGCGTATATGCGGAGCTATGTGGTTAGGAGTAGTTTTTGGGAGTTCCATCGAGAATGCTCAGAAATTCCTTTGACGAGAACACTGCTTGTACAAAATAAGTAACGGATGATAAGTCATCCATGGGAAGCAGGTATTGTTTGTACGGACCATTTTTCTATCCAAGAATAATGCGAGGCTCAATCCAGTATGTCAGTCACCCCGTCTCCGTTCCCGCTTATTTTCGAGTGGGATTTTTACCCACGAAATCGAATTTCAGCCCGCAGCGCACCTTATCTACAGAGTACGTCCAAAATGTGGACTATGCTTGGCGAGATTCCCAAGGTTCTCGTAGGCGGTACTACTGCGCACGTCGATGGCTCTCACTGAGCGGTTAAATACGCAAACGTTTTGTGCTAGAAACTAACGAGGTCCAGAAGAGACTTTTAAGAGCATTGCTTGAAACGTAAAAAATTCGTAAAAAAGAAAAGAATAGGTTGAATGTACTGAATTTGGGAAGTGAGGTTGATGAATGGATTACCAAATAAAATAGGCCAACACGGCCTTCCAACGCATGCCATGTAACAATTGGAACCCAACGGTGCTCCTTTTTGATAAGGAAAGCATGAACGTATCAATTTTACACCGCGACCGAACCCCGAAGGAAAGAAAAGGACGACTAAAGTTGGTGAACAAGAACGCTTACCGGTAAGGCGATGTTTGAGTCACTGTTAGCACCCTTATCTTACATTGGCCTCCTCCACTGATTGTGAGGAGCCCTCCCTCACTGGAGAAACTCTAGCCGGTTGATAACCGAGTTACGGGACCAACACCATCTAGAAGTAAAGCTTAATCGAGGACCGAAAAGATGAACTTCCTGTTGACGCTAAATTGATCTGATGTAAGCCTTTGTCTCCTTGCAGGCGTATCTCTATGTATGCGTGTAGATGCATTTGGGGTTGGTATCCACGGCTATACAGGTGTCCACATCAACACTCTGTCCTGACATTGATCCACAAGAAAGCCTGACAACATAAATCCGACGCTTGCGAAAGAGATCTGACAATCTTCGTCCCCTACGCACCAGTACTAAGCTACCACGAATGGGAGCCTACCGTGAAAACCATACTTCCTTTTTAGTCATCTTCGGCGACAACTTAGCTCCAGGAAACCATACGAGTAACTTCTCATCCGAACACACAGAATGTAATAGGATGAACGAGGTAGAAGGCTGTACTAGTTCATCATGCCGAACAACACCACCCATGTTAATTCACTGNTCACAAGATAGCCTGACAGCATGAATCCCACGTATGCAATACAGATCTGAAAATCTTCATCCCCTACGCACTAATACTAAGCTACCACGAATGGTAGCTTCTCATCCGAACTCACAGAATGTAATAGGATGAACGAGGTAGAAGGCTGTTCTAGTTCATCATGCCGAACAACACCACCCATGTTAATTCACTGTTCCGGGAGCTTTTAATTGCCCTGGACATTGCAGTAGTTACCTGGATAGCAGTTAAATAATGAAAAAATAACATCTTCGTCAGACGTATGCTTTGAATAGCTGTTGCGACTGTTGTTCCCAGGTTCTACATGAGAAGGGATCATCGTCTGGTCCACATGGGGAAAGAAGTGCTACCTACATCCGAAAAGCAACGCTCGCTCTATCATACACTCTTTGACCGACAAAATGTATGATTACAGAAAACAAACACAAGACAGCATCTTGAGAAGTTGTTTATTTTTGGGGCAATAGTATTCCTGCCAAGTTATAAATAGCAATATTTGCAAGTTTTAGTACAGATGTTTTTCGCAACTTCACAATATCCTCGTTCGTACAGCTCGTAACAGCTCACATCGTCTAATTTATTTTTACACGCCTAAAATCGATTTTATATCAGAAAATTGAATTGTTTCGGCATCTACGCGTTTCTCATTAGGTAGGTAAAGTTATTCTGACACAGTTCTGCTTGAAAAGCTCTCCCATATATCGAATGCGAGCTCATAACAATTTTTCTGCTATCCATCGGCATATTAATGTACCTTAATGTCCTCTGCTTCAGATGTGAAGGCACTG